CGCGACCAGTTTGGACAATATTTGTCCAGAAAGTAGGCCAGGTTCATAGTCGTGGGCCGCAGCGCCACCTGGTTGCTGGGAGTTGGTCAGGTCACTACTCTGTCCCTCCATTTTAACAACCGAACCAAAAATAGCCTAGTAGAGCTTCTGCAGATAGCTCAAGCTGCACCTTTTGGGCAGCAACTGCTAGCTTTGTAGCAGAAAAACACTAAATTAACCTTTGTGCGCACAGGTTTTAGCGTTTTAAGATTGCACGGAATGCCGTGACTGACGCTTAAAATACTATTCCTTTCAGTATTTTAGCAAAAGCTGGTGCGTTGCCGTAGCAACGTCTTACAACACTTGCAGTGTTAAATATGCTAGTTATTCCTTCAGAATATTAGCAAACAGGGTGTTATCAGTCTTTGAGTGAAGGTTTCAGTTAGTTATAATAGCCACTGTGAGTTAAAGTCGCTAAATTAGCAGTTAATTTTAGCCTAAAAGGGTTAGTCAGAATTACTTACACGCTGCACCTTTAATGAGGAACTGAATTTTAACCTAAAAGGTTAGCCAGAATTAATTACACGTTGCACCTTTAAGGAAAAACTGAATTTTAACCTAAAAGGTCAACCAGAATTAATTTACACGTTGCACCTTTAAAGAAGCACTGAGTTACTGGTGAGAGTTCGATGCAGCTTCCTGCTCAGCGAAATCAGCACCACTCTGTTGCTGGTTCAAGGCTGAACAACGGATTATTTTTAATTCAAGCTCTTTGGATTTATTTGTTTGTTTGTGCCGGATAGAAATCTCTGTGTATCCAAGCCTCACGCGGGCTGCACCAATAAAATGTTGGGGTTATTAGGAGCGAACAATTCGTAAGCGTTAACTTACTTTTGGATTCTTCAATAAATTCTGTAAATATGTAAATATTTACTGATTTATTAATTAATTAAGATATTCTTAGATATACGGGGCACCATTCCCCTTTTTCCGGGGAAAAATTGAATCCAAAACTCTTATCAGTCTTTCTTGAAGTTCGTAGAATCCTTGGAGCAGAGACTTCTCTTCGACACAACAAAGCTACTGGAGACGAAAATCTGAATTTTATAACGTTTAATTAACAATTTGTCAAATGAATAAACAGTGGCATAAATGAATAATAACCATGTGATATAATAAAAGGATGTATATTCAAAATAATGTTCAAGGTGTTTTGTGTGTATGTAGGATGTATGAATGGGGTCCTTTGTTCTCACAAAGGAGTAGTGTGTGTGCGTGTGTATGGATTCAAAATGGAGTCTTGAGTACAAGATGGCTGACTCCTTTGTCTGGCTAAAGTGTGGGTGGCAACTTGCACTTTAACTTCCAAAGCACTTAGAATCAGTAGTAACTTAACCTTAAATCACTCAAAACATTTCAAAGGATCATGCAACAACACAAAAGATTAATCACGAGTTAATATCCTTAGTTTATCAGCCTGGCCATGGCCGAACATTTAAAGATACCAAACAATGATTAATAAGCAGTTTATTCTTTCAAAATGACCCGAAGGACGAATTTGGAACGAAAGAGGAAAACACGAAGCTACTTTTTTTTAAGCAATAGCGCGGTTTTATTGCTTATTCTGGACTATAGAGGAAACGGGAGAAGAAAAGAATGAGAGAAAAATGAGTTTTCTGATCACCAAAAGAGCGAGGCGTCCCTCCCCCTTTTGATTTGACGGTTCTCCGTGTTTCTCCGCAGTTTTCAGCGTCATCCGCCGGTTTGATGCTTTCTCCGTTGTTTGGCTCCACGAGTGTTTCTCCACGGCTGGACACAAAGAAAACGAAGTTCCTTTTGGGCTGAGTTTGACAACTTACAGCGTTTCTGAGAGCTGGATGGAGTTGTTGTTTCCCTCCGCTGGTTCTGTGTCCTCAAACATCAGCTGGAGGGGAGCAGAAACGAGCAGATCAGCGGTCCCGTGGGCTCAACTTGGCTCTTAGAGCTTCCGCGTGCTCAAAGAAGTCGGAGCGTTCGACAAGCGTGTCCTCACCGCCAGGTATCCTGGGCAAAAGAACGAGGTTTCTTTGTCTCTGCTGAAGATTTATGGTCTTAGTTCGCGGGGAAAGCTCCACGGCTTCCCGCACATGCGCAGAACGTGTTTCTGGTACTAGGCGGTAACATCACCCAATGCTTCCGTGTGCAAAGCATCATGGGAAATGAAGTTTCTTGGCGCTGATGTGATTATTTGCTTTTCAGAGCAATTTAAGCACAGTCATTTTAGAGAAAATCACTGCATAGTAATTTCCTCATGAGGTCAGACCCTCAACACTTGTTTTATTTTAGAATGTACGTTAACATCTCCTTCCAATAAAAGTCCAAATCTTTAGTTTTTTTGTTAAGTATTAAATATTTAATATTCTAGCTGTTAGCTGCCAGCATGGACTCGGTTTAGAGAGTGTTGATGCACTTGGCAGAGACCCTAATCTAAGGCTACTTACACAGAAGTGAGGTGTGTTGCCCAAGGAAACGACCACCGTTACCTCAGAAAAATAGCGTTTACGAATTTTAATTGATTGATGAGCTAACAGCTGGTCTGAAAACAGTGTAAACATGTCACTACCAGTTTGAATAATCTTCACAATGTGAGGTTAACTTTGTAAACATGGGAGAGAACTTTACATGATAAAATGAAAGTAAATGTCATCATCATCTGCGAAATGTAGCGCTTTTGGTGCTTCACAGGAAACCCTCAGCATTTTAACTTGTTTTAGAAGAAATAAAGGTAAAACATTTGCTTATGTAGTTGGCCAACTAATCTGTCCATGTTTAATTATTATAAATGGCTTCTCCTATTGAAATACAGGCGGATAACCCTGTAAAAATCTTTCTGTCATCTCCTCCGTTTGATCATTTTAATAAAGCCTCATCTGCTCGTACACAGCGCTTAGATCAGAGTTAATTTCCTGTTTGCTTTTTTCCTGATGAGAAGAAATCTGTGGATTAGTTCATCCTCTGACCTCCTTCTTCATTGCCCTTTTTTGCTTCCCTCCATGTGACCTATTTGGCCTCTCTCTGAGAGGAACACAGATCAAATTTGATGTGAGGGTGGCTAAAGGACGGTTGCACCTTTCCAGGGACCTGAGTGGAATTAGTTGTTTAACCTTATTGTTTGTTTTATTTTGATTCCTGGCTTGTTTTGCTCTTGGGAATTACTTGTCTTGGTCCTCTCGCCTCTTTATCCAGCTGAAGTTAAACCTTCTAAAATGTGCAGGGAATGGAAACAGATGTTTCAGCCTCAATTGGAGCTGTTTGTTTTTGGTTTGTCCTCAGATTTGTCCCGCTTTGATCTGTCAGTAGAAACTCTGGATTTCAAATTAAAAGCCCATAACCCCTACAGACACTAAAACCACAGACTCAAGTGATCTGAAGGTATTTATTTCATATAGGGTTTGTTCTAAACAAGGATATAAAAGTCAATGCAATCCTTCTGCGGTGCAGTCAAGAAAGCATTAACTCCAGTCAGTGTAAAACCAGTTTAGTGTGTGTCACATGTATAAAACCTATTTATGATGTGTGTAATGTCAACTGCATCAAAGGATCACATTGTTGGTTTAGAAATGACAGATAATTTTTAACAGGATGGTAATTAGCCAAGTGTTAATAACCAAATTTAGCGTAGAATTGTGTTAATTTGTTTTAGTTTTATTTCTTAAAAGTGTGGAACACAGAAACACATTTTAAAATGATTATTTCTGATTATAATCAGTCTTTGAGTTTTCATGCAGGCTGAACATGATAATAGTCTCCTACACCTATCTCCTGCAGATAGAAAACCGACGGTGAAACTCTAGGATTGTCACTGTCGCTAACATTCATGGACTCACCCATCTTGACTCACGACGGGGAACGCTCTTGTTGATTTAGCGTCCCGGAAACAGCAGAGAACTTATCCACTAGCAGAAGCTAACTAATAGCATTAGCACCTCCACCACACAGCAGAACTCCTTCAGACTTGTGTTATTTGTGGAGATCAAACATCAATGCTGCAGTGTTGCTGTTAGCTAATCAGAGGCGAGGTGTCCGCATGTCAGGAAAGAAGACTCCAAATCCTGTCGCGTCCAGCTACGTCACAGGTTGTTATAATAGTAAATGATTACGGATTGATAATTAGCCATGTGCTAATTTAGCCATGAGTTGGCCCTATAAAACAAGAGTTCAGGTGTATATAGCAGCCTTCTTTTCTAGTATATGAAAGGTTGATACTTTGAATCCTGAAATCCATGTTTTCAGTGTTAATTTATATTTTATAAAACTGTTTTAGTTTGATATCAACAGCAGAGCATAAAGATAATTGAAAAAAATGACATGAAGCAGTAAAGGGAATTATTTTTAAGTGGGAGAGAAACTATTTGTCTTTTCCTCCCAGTGGAACTCTATTCTTTCATCCTTTAACTTCTGGTTTCTTCTCCCCCTCCTTCAATAAATCAGCCTCCTTCCTGTTTGCAGACTCTCTCCTGTCTTCTCTAAATGCTTGGCTTCAAAATCTCCTCAAACAGTCATTTCACACTAGTTACCGTTAACAGGATCCTCTGTGTTTTACCTCATCGTCCCAGCGCTGCACAGACATGTAAATCTGTCTGTTTTTAGTTTGTGGACTGAGATCTTACCCATCATCCCCTGGCTCTGTCCCAGTAGACCAGTCCAAGCCTTCAACAAATCTTAAAAACATCTCACTGGAAGAGCTGCTCTACTTGGCACAGAGAGGACACTTGTAATCACTTGTTAGTGGGAAAATAACCACTTGAATTTATTTTTGGATTATTGCTTTTACTGCAGTGGCCTTGGAAACTCACTTTCCAACTCATATTTTGATTCTTCTATCTACCCACACTGTTTTGCGTCTCTTCCATTAACTCGACTGCGTGTGTCTGTTGTGTTGCTGAAGTTTCTTTCATTCAAACTTGAGCGATCTTTAAAGAAATATGCATCTAACGAGTCAGTTACTTTTTATAATTCCATTATTTTCATCTCTCGTGCAGGTCTGAGACGGTTCTACGCAGCACTTTTCTGGATAATTAGTGGAAACAGCCTTTAAACTCAGGTAAGTTGACTCAAAAATAATTAATCAGTTATATAAAGTTATGTATTTGAAGGAGATTTGATCTTAATGATTGTTTTATGGGTTTACAGTTTTTACCTCCAGTCCAGTAGGTGTCAGTAATGTTCTGGTTTTTCAGCTGGTAAAAATGCAGAAGGATTTTAAACTAGGAAGTAGACTCAGCCACTGTTGCTATTTCCCCTAACTCCAGTATCTTTAAAGGGTTGTGATGAGCTATGGAATTTTTTTAATGAAAAATTTGCTTACGACACTTTTGTGTATGTCAAACCTGCAAAAGGAATTCAAAATGTGTACGTTTCTGAAAATGTACAGATTTTTAGTCACAATTTAGTTTAAAGAAAATCTCCATTTGTTCATAATTTTTTTTTTTTTTTTTTTTTTGCAGTTTGGTCATCAACTCCTCAGATATTTACTACACGTTTCTCGCCTATTCTGACTCAAACGGTTTCCATTAGACATGTTCTGATGAGGTGTTTTTGCCACACACACTGATCACATGGATCAGCAGTAAAAGTTTCAATGTAGTCATGATTAAAGACCGATCATTGTGGGTTTTTCTTTTACCAATACTGATGCCTATATGTAGAGGTCATGCTGCCGATTTTCATGGCCAACATCGACGTTTTCTGCTTTTTCGCATTCGAATGTCACTCACAACTACAGTGGACGAGCATTGTCTCTGAGCCTGAATCAGTTGTGTTTTGAATTTAACAACCATTCAAACAAACCAATAAACTGACCAAGTATTGATTATAAAACATGTAACTGAAAGTAAATATCAGTAGACAATAATGTTTAGAGCATTAATTAAGCAGGTGTCTTTCAGGAACATAAAAATACATTTAACCCTCCCACTGTCCTAATGGGTGTGACCCCGTGAGGAAAGTTGATAATTGAGCAGGGTTGATGGTTTATCCCTTGGGTCCACGTGGCAGAGGTGAGGAGTGAGCACCACCTCACTCCTGCCACATGGACCCAAGGGACAAACCATCAACTCTGCTCAATGGTCAACTTTCCTCACGGGGTCACACCCATTAGGACAGTGGGAGGGTTAAATAAAAATTGGCAACAGCATCGGGGACATACCCATCCTTAAAGTAACAGCAGCTTTATCTCTGTGAATGTTGGGTTAGAAACATGACCAGTTTCATATTTGACACAGCTCTGAAGCTCTCTGCTGGCCAGATACTGCACTTAACAGTTTTGTGGAGCAGGTAGGTGACGGGGCGCTCTTATACTTGCATTACGGCTGTTAGCTATTTTCTATGTTGTTTGCTTTTTCAGCTTGGTAACTGTCAATAAAAACACAAAACGTAGAAAAAGAAGAAGTTTGCTTTTCTGTTGGCATTGTGGGGAAGCCTGGAAGTAAAAGTACGTTTCTGGAGGTGAAGCAAAGAGCTAAAACCGCCTACGCTAGTTTGAGGGAGCTGAAAAAGACTATGAAATGATGGGCTGATGGTGACCTGGCTTTGTTGCTACTGGACTTGTAAGTAATAATATGTTGTCCAACAGTGTGAATCTTTTTACTTTGTGGCTTATTTGTTAAGACTTGGCTTATGCTAGTGTTAGCTTGTTGTTAACACTAGCTAGAGCAGGCTGCAGCAGGGTTGTTCACAGTAGTTGTTATTCCACTTTCAACCCGCAGGGCAGAGGAGCAGGAAACTGCTCTGTGGTACTTAAAATCAGCTCTACTAAAACGGTAAATTGGCTGATGCCAATAATTATAAGATGGTAAATATCAGCCCGATGCAGTGGTCTGGACCTAGTTATGATCAGTGCTAGTGGCTTCACGTTCTGGACAAAAATGACTGATAACATTGCCTTAATATAGACAAAAACATGATTTTACTTACTTTTTTAGAGAATAAAAACTTGCAGCACAATGCAGAGATTCATAAGGACATCTCAAAAACACATATTTAGCTGTGGTCAGGAACTAAATCTGTAAAATATTGACATCAGTAAGGCTCTCAACAGGTTAAATAGTGCAGAAAGTTAAATAATTTATTATGTGATTTTTTAAAATTGTTAATTACCTGCGCAGGGCTCCATGTTCAGCTACTTGGGTCTAGTTATTTTGATTCTGATCTGAATCTTGCTACCCTTGGTTGGGGGTTGGAATATAGATGGATCCTTAACTGAAAGACCATGGGGTGTTTCTCAATGTCAAGGCGCCTGGCCTTGCGGGGCGATGTCTTGCAAGGCCATGTGCCTTACTTACGAGGACACTGTCCTTCCTTGGTCAAAGAAAACACTTAAATGGAGCAGACTTGCATCACGTCACCGCGGCTTCCACGGCGGTCACGTAACGTCACGTGACACGGGAGATAACGTTATATTTTATATGCATTAGTTTCAATATAAATATATAATGAGTCTTTTACTTTTTAAATTGTGTAAATGTTTATTAAATTAAAAATATAAGTGAGTTACTACCTGCTAGACACCGAAGCTGCAACTACAAAGCAACTAACCAACCATAGATAACTTCTTTGGATCTAAATAAACATTTTAAATTAGATGACTTGCTTTTAAACTGAAAATTGTCTCCGAAGTAGCTGCCGGCTTCTGAGCCGCCGTCTTTTTGAAAATACCGTGGTGTATTCTGGGTAATTTTTGACCAAGGCTAGGCTACAAGACACCTCCCGTGTATCCTTGCTCAGCTAGCTAAACGGCTAACAAACAGAGAACACACGCCTCAGTAGAACATGAACATTGGAAAACGTCTTGACGGTTCCTGATGACATATCTCGGCAGGGCCAAGACATCAAGGCAAGGTTCCTTGGCATTGAGAAACACCCCGTGCAACATCACAACAGCCTGGAGCAACACAACCTTGATCCATTGGTTCTTCTTTAGTTCCATCCTGCCATCATTCGTGAATGTTAGACCACAGTATTTATTAGATTAATTTCTGTGATGAAGGACCACGACAAACTGGATACCTTGTCATAGATAGGTGGACTACGTCCAAGTGGGCCAACCAGCTACTGGGGGACAAATCAAGGTCTGGTGGAACGGCGAGGGTAGTTTCCCTGGCATCATTGGCTGACTTTAGGCAGGAGTTGCCTTCGCAGTTTTTAATTCATAAGTTAAACCTGAAGCTAACTCAACAGCTGCTCCTCCTACTTTGTAGTCAGTTCCCCAGTCCTGTGGGTTGAAGCTTCATTTCATTTTGACCTGCACCTGAAACCAAAAACATACAAGCCTGGCCCACCACCATCTGTTCTGCTCTCTGCCACCATCACCGACATTTCACACTTTTCCCATGACTCACTGGGCCTCAGGAGTAAGCGGCTGCATTCATCCAGATGATGAGCGTGGCCGTTTGTGGATGGATAATAGCAGAGGGGATAGTGCTCAGCAACATGTGGAAGGCACAGGATATTTTAGGAGACAGAAAAAACAGTAATTAAGTCGAAACGCTGATTGCAAGTGTAAGGCCGTGCAAGACATAAAGTGGTGATGCCAAAGTATCGGGGAGGGTTCGTTGCAGTGACAACGTGAGCTGCATAAAAGGAAGTTGAGGGAAACCTCCTGCTGCAGGAGAGTATTGCAGCAGGGCTATTTTTGTTCCTAGCAGCCAGTTGTGTAATGTGTAAGTAATGAAAACAGACCTGCTGGTATCAAGTCTTCTGCAATCAGAGATGGAGGAGGCGGGCTAGATGAGGCAAAAAGTCTGATTTAAATAACCTGTATAAATGTTACAAACTGATTCTGGAGAAGAAAAACACTGGGAAAAGTCATTTCAGATTTCTGTCGAAGCAAATGAAAGAATTTGCTGCAAAACCTTTGGTGAGCATTGGAATCAAGATTCAGTCAGAAAATAGGCCTGCTGGCATCCCAGGAAAAACTGTTGAGTTTGCTCTTTGCATTATGTAAACTTGATACTTGATGTTTTTATTTCTTTACTCTCCTAAATTTAGTCAAAGGGATCAAACAAACCCTATAATTTAGATACATTTATATATTTTAAAATAAAGACACTGAGGTTAAAAATGACCCCAGGAGCCAGAGTATTGATGGGTTTAAATGGCTTGGTTTCCATTTGTGTCAGCGCAGTTAGAAAGGAACCCCAAGGGGACGGGCCTGCAGGATTTGGTGGCCTACTTCTGGATACATAACAAGGGTCAGAGTCAGTTCTCTGCTGCTGCTATCATTTACTGACTTTGAGGTGTCATTTAAAACAGAAACTATGACATCACCACAGGGTGGGGCTCAATTCAGGAGACTGGATGAAAAGTAATTTTATTAGAAAATCCACTCAAAATTCCCAATCTTTTACCTTTTTTTTCCTTTTAGAACAAAGACAAACGGATAACATTTTGTTATTTTTTAAGGTTGCACACAACTGTTTTAGGTTGGCAACAAATTAAAGATGACTAACAAAATAAGTATGAGTCACATTTCCCGCCTCCATCAAGTCTTCTGCGATCAGAGATGGAGGAGGCGGGCTAGGTGAGGCAAAAAGTCTGATTTAAATAACTCATATAAACTTTACAAACTGAATCTGGAGAAGAAAAACACTTGGAAAAAGTCATTTCAGATTTCTGTCGAAGCAAATGAAAGAATTTGCTGCAAAACCTTTGGTGAGCATTGGAATCAAGATCCAGTCAACAAATATGCTTATTTATTTCTTTACTGTGGTGCAGTTCAATAAAATTCATGTTTTATGCACTAGATTGCTTATTTATTCTATAACTGCTTTTCTGATTTAGTCATTTCTTTTAAATTATTAACTTCTGAAATGTTTGGGTTAGTCATCTGCAAAGCTCAAGTTTTAAAGAGAAAGCTCACTGCAAACCCGTTTTTTTCAATGATTGGCCACCCTGGTTTTATCATGCAGGTTGATCATGAAAATAATCTCCTACACCTTCTTCCTGCATTAGCGTTTAATAGAAAATATACGGTGAAACGCTCAAGTTAGAAAAGTCTGTTGATTCTATGTCACATTGAAAAGTATTTCATGGGCTCACCCATCT